AATAGACAGTCATTCAGACTGGGGTCATCAGGTGTGGCCTTTGCGCTGCAGTCGTAAACTATTCGAATTGGTGTTGTAATCGAATCCTTTTTTACGGGGCGGTGAGGCAGGTAATGTCCACTGGAAGTATCGTCATCGCCTACTTTCTCAATAAAGTTGCGTTTCTCTTGATTCCTGATGATAGTGTCATACACGCGTCGCGTTTCTACTGGTAACTTGCGCACGGTATTACGTGTTCGATGACATGCGTTGCGATAATTCGTAGGCAAAGGACTGTGGTCGGTTTTCCACGGCAATTTGGCCACATATTGGTCATCACGTTTTTCAATGTAATTTCTCTGGAAATTCTGAAAATCGGAGGGATCCTGGACAGTTTGTTTATTGTCTTTAATGCCAATGGATTCTAGGTTCCAGAATTTGTCCAGGGTATCGTCTTCTGCGTTGCGCTGTTTCGCCATGACATGAAAAGCGGTGTCGTTTGCTGTGACGTAGTCATCGGAGTGGGCGGGGCCCGAGAGTAAGTATCCAAATTTGGAAGCGACAGCGGTGGGCCCTGGACCTCGCACGATTGTATCTTCAACAAAGTCCCAGTAATGATCGGCACCAATTAGCACAGAGACGAAAAAAGGCGATCTGTCATCAGATGGTGTGTGAGCCAGTCTCAAGTTCCTTAAGTGGGACAAATTGGCTATCCTACGTGTCACTAAATTATGGAGTGGAGCGGAAATTTCAGGAACGACGACTGCGTTAATATCAACAAATTCTTTTGATGTTGTTTTCAGGGAGATTGTGACGATGTCAAAAGTCTGAGGTTGTTTACAGTCCATTCCAAATACAGACAGATTGATCTCCTCAGAATGAGTTGGCTGGAGCTGAAGTTTATGAACAAGCTCTTCTGTGATGAATGATCTGGTCGCTCCTTCGTCGAACAAGACCCCACTAGTTGCCGATAATTGGAAGGGTGTTTGTTTGTTGGAGACCTCCACGATAGCCGTTTTTAACAAGACAACATTCCTTTGATTTTTTGCCCCTTGAGTGAAGGTGCTCGCCGCATGTTCCACGGCAGGCGGTTCCCGCGCTTTCTGAGCGGCGCTTGGTTCACTGTTTTGCTTAGCATGAAGGGCGGTGTGGTGTTTTCCATTGCAACTTCTGCAGCGAAATTTAGACAGGCATTTTCGGCTTGAATGGTTGGGCGTAAGACAGTTAAAGCATAAATTGTCTCTTTTTGCTATTTCAAAGCGTTTTTCCTGTTCCGACACAACTGGGCACGTGATAGAGCTATGTTCATTTTTGCAGAAAGCGCATTTCATTTTTCTTTTCGGCTTGTTCGTCGTTTTCTTCGTGTTACTATTGGTGAAAAACGCAGCAGTGGGTCGGTACGATTTCTCTTGGTTGAACCCGTCTATTTCTCCAGCTTGTAGGGCGTCGATCTCAGACTTAAGTGTACTGCGCAGATCGGCGATTGACCATTCATTGTTTCCATGCGCTCTTGCGATTTGTCTGCGCGTGTTGGCAGGCAATTTATCTAGAATCATAGGAATCAAGAGTTCTCCATAACTTTGTTCTTCTTTTCCTAAAGAGCTGAGTCCTCTAATAAAAGTCTCGATCCTATCGTAGAAAAATCTCAATGATTTTATATCTTCATCGGGGCGTGGAAGCTCCCAAAGAGCTCTCATGAATGCGTTAATGATTTTGTGAGTTTGTCCATACCTTTCTCGAAGAAGTTCCTTCGCATTTTCGTAATTATTAGCCGTAAGCTGTAATCCCGCGATCGTAGAAAACGCTTCGCCATCCAACTGCGCCCGTAAAAACTGGAATTTCTCGATAGTAGATAGCGTCTCGTTTTCGTCTATAGCACTGACGAAGTCGTCGTTGAAAGCGGGCCATTGAAGGAGATTTCCGTCAAACCTGGATAGGATGAGTTTGGGGAGCCTGTAATTTCGTTTCATGTTGCTCCGCGGAGGGTCATCACTTGGAGTGGGAGCGTTAGAAATCGAAGGCTCGCTTCGGCGTTCTTCTGACTGTATATTTTCTTTATGTTTTCGAATGCGACGGAGCTTCTCTTTAGCTGAAAACATAAATTCGTCTGCTTCGGCAACGCCGTCTTCCATCTTTTCATCTGAAAGTTTGGATAGAATCCTCTCGTCTAATGTTTTTAGATAGTCCATCTTTTCCTCGATTAGTTCGTACGTTAGGTCCAACGTTTCCACATTCTCTACGGACGGCTCATCAGACATCAAACTTGATGCTCGTTGAAATAGCTTCGTTAGCTGGGCTCGGTTCGCCGACCGGAGTTTTTGATTTCTCTCTGCAGCCATAGTTATCCTGGTCACGGCACCAAAAAATGTCGGTATGCGGTTCAGAGAAAAAACGAGAGTTGAAAAACTACACGTTTATTATCTACAGAGACTGATCAAAAACTACCCACTCAATGAGCAGGGCGTGAATATATACAAAGTAGGCAATAGGAGGCGGAGCTAAAACTAAATCCATGTCCACTACAGACATTGACATACGAGCTTTAAAATACGTTACTACAACTGATAGTGCGCTTCGTTTGCATGGACATGCTTTTTCCATACGTTCCAACACCCCAGTTTCCCCCACCGAATGGTGGGTCCATTTCCACACCCTGATGAATAGGACACTGCCCCACAACAATATAAATTTTGAAACCCTGGTTAACCAGAGAGCACAAACCCCTAAGCATAACTTGTTCACCGAACTTGACTTTACCATAACTGAACATGAAGTAAAATTAGCCGCTCGTAGTCTTAAAAAGAATAAGTCCCCTGGTATCGATGGTATCCCAAATGAAATGCTTAGAGAGGGCATAGACTCACTTGCCCCAGCCATCACTAAACTGTTCAACGCTATCTTCTCCAGTGGTAACTTCCCCTCCCTCTGGAGAGTGGGTATGCTCAATGTTATTCACAAGAAAGGGGATAAAAAAAGACCCCAAAAATTATAGAGGGATAGCTGTATCCAGTAACTTATGTAAACTATTTTGCAAAATACTTAATAATAGACTCACATCATTTACTTTTAAAAATAGCACGATCCCTACTAATCAAATCGGCTTTAAAAGAGGGGCACGTACAGTCGACCATATGCTAGTACTCAAATCTCTCATCGATAAATACCTAAATAAAATGGATAAAAATAAACTATATTTATGTTTCGTAGATTTTTCAAGCGCCTACGATACAGTATGGAGAAATGCCTTATTATATAAACTACAGCTGGCAGGGGTAGGAAATCTCTTTCTAAATATAATAAGTAATATGTATAAATCTGTCCAGTTTACTGTAAAAACACCAGGGGGACTGACAAACGTCATCAATACAAGTGTAAGTGTCAAACAGGGCTGCGTCCTCAGTCCCTTACTGTTTAACATTTTTATTAGGGACATTCCCGACCTGTTCAGCAACAATGAAAAATACAACCCTGTTCACCTTAGGGATAAACCTCTTAGTTGTTTAATGTACGCGGATGACCTCGTACTAGTATCAGAGAGCCCAGATGGACTTCAGGCTGCCCTCAATAGTTTGGCTGNCATTGAGCATTTTAACATCAACAGCTGCTGCTGTATTTTGGTAAGAGATTGAACGTTGTGACATCAGCAAGTGGTGTTAGATTATTGAGAATACATTGCTTTTTTCACTTGCTTATTATATTATATTATATTATATTATATTATATTATTCAATCATATTGTTTCTTTGAATTTATTATTTTTACTGTTTTATGTACAGACACACTGTGCCTGTATATGTAGCCATCACCTGCATCTGTTGTTGCTGTTGTTGTTGTCCCCAACATTTCTGTTGTCGCTGTGCACTTTCATTGTTAATAAGTTGAAAACTGGTAGATCTGTTGTCTTCAAACTGGCAGAACTGATGAACATTCATGATATACTGGCAAAATTCAAAAATTGGCATGATCCCACCAATTTCTTTCTCAAAGGTTAATCTTTTTTTTTTTTCACTTTTATCAGCATGTATGCAATACAGGCAACACATTTCAAGGAAAACCAATAGGCTTTTTGTTTTCAAACCTTCAAGAGTGATCAGTATTATTGATATGTGTGTTTTTTTTTTGTTGGTTGGTTGGTTGGTTTTGTTTGTTTGTTTATTGGCATGTATTATTATACATGGGCAGATCCAAGATTATTTGAAGGGGTGTCTGCAGATGTAATGTTGACCTTCCCCCCCCCTCCCAAAAAAAAAAATATATATATACACACACACACACTTGGTGCGGGGTTTGGGGCCCTTCAGCGGGCCCTGAAAAATTCTGGTATTTTAGAGGGCGAANGGGGGGGGGGGGGGAGTGGTCAGGACCCCCCATGACCTCTCCCTCTAAATCTGCCACTGTAATATATGCTATACAGATAACACATTTCAAGGAAAATTGGCAGGTTTGTTGTCTTCAAACCTGCAGGACTGAAGGACTGATCAATAGTATCAATATTCAGGATGAGTCTGGCTTGATGGGACTTTTTTTCAGTATGTATTATTCTTACCAATATACGTATATACGTAATATGCAATGCAGATATCCTATTTCATGGAAAAAAATTGCCTGTCTTCAAACTTTCAGGACTGAAAAATATGACTTAGATACAACTGGCATTTTAAAACCAGTCTGATCGTATACCAGTACTTTTTTTGTTGTTGTAATTAAAGAGTTTGTGTGTATGTGTGTGGAAAATTCAATTTTTTTTCATCATGATATTTTCAAAGTATGCCTTTGAACTTCAATGGGCCTGAAGACTTTTGCTAGTCTCATTTCTAATTACCTATCATCTGCAGTACAACATTAAAATTGGTGGTGATTATAAGCATTATGTATGTAGTATTGCATCAAACTTGAAGAAAACCCTATTTTGGGCACTGCTGCAGTAATTTAAAGTAAACCAGATACTTACAATTCTCAAACCTACAGAAAAGAATGGTAGGACTGAAATACAGCTTGTCACCATAAATGCAATAAAAGGAAAACAGTGTGACTCATTTGAAACTTATAAAAAAGATACATAGAATTGACATTTGTTTTATTTTGCTTGTTGCCCCAGTTATGCTTTACAATGTTTCGCTTTAATTACTGATATAGTGTTTTTATACATCCCCCATCCCAATACAATACAATACAGTTTATATCATGTCGGAAAGAATAAATGTACAAACATTAGCTGAGTAGCTATTCACGGACAGAATAAATTAAATAATGATACAGTGTTTACTACTATTGTTTCTAACTACTTCTGTTGATTGAAATTACAACAGGAAAATAAGGCCAAGCAGCTGACATAGTATGATACATGATTATAGTGGGTAATTAATTAAGTTTACATTGAGACATCATTCCATGGCGTTGCAGAGATTACACTTGCACTTAGGTCCTTCCCATTTTTTTTCATCATTGTTTTTACTTCATTCAGACTAACACAAGCTTTTGGGTATTTTGTGGCTTTGAGGTTAAGCATGTTTTTGAAGTGGTTGCGACAATTTCCTTGATAAGTTTAAAACAAGATTTATTTTTTGTTGTGTTACAATAAAGACTTCTCTGACATCTGTTAATACTATATCATGAAAGTATTTAAATAAGGAGTGCATACTGAGCTAGATGCAATTGAATAAAAAGTTTGCTGTTATAATATAAAGAGAAGGGGAGGTGGTGAACAATGCTAATTAACATCTATTAATAGTAAATTAAAGTATATAAATTAGGAGTGCATGCTGAGCTAGATGTAATTGGATAAAAAGTTTGTTGTTATAATATAAAGAGAAGGGGAGGTGATGAACAATGCTAATTAACATTTCATAGCATCTCGGTCATTCCAGAAGAAAGGGTACAATTCCAAAATGAGAAATGCAGAAATCTGAACTTTGCAAAACTGTGAAACTTTTCACAATATTTTAATGAAGAGGTATTCAGATAGTAGCAGAAGAATTTTAACCCAAACCATTACTGTATTTCAAGAAATATCCACGTGTAAACATAATACAATAATTTTTCGTTATGGAGGTTAGGTAACATCTAAATTGGGTTATATTTCAATCATTCCATAGGTCATAGGTTCCATTTTTGATTCAGTTGCCAAGATTTTGTATGAATTCAAAAATATTGTTACCAATTTAACATTTCTCTTCAATTATAGAAAATGTGGTGCAAACACTTTGGTAATAAGTCACATGTTTTCTATAAATACAAAGCCTGAGGTATTCCAATTTAAACAATGATTTTAGAAATCACTGGGAACAGACTTGCTTTTATATCTTACTAGTTGTTTATAAACAAAGTGCTATCCATCTATTGTAATATGAATGTAGATCAATCAGCACAAACATATCCAATGTGCAAATGAAAAATAAACAATTTGGTAATGAAGGTTAGGTCCAAAGCAACAGTATTCATTTTTATGTACAGACACAGATGTGTCTGTACATATTGCCATCACCTGCGTCTGTCGTCGCCGTCGTCGCCGTCGCCAATGCCGGCATGTTAACAGTCTTATTATTTAATTAATAAGACACATAAAAGTGTTTGTTTGATATTTCCTGCATNCGAGTCTCTTGAGAATTTTAGCGAGCCGGACCGCCTCGCTGCTGTGAATGCAGAGGAGACCGTGATGTGTAAATCTTTTGAAATAAATACTATTTCAAGAGAATATCCCTGGCTTCATATATATATATATATATATATATATATATATATATATATATATATATGTTAAAAGGTCAAAAAGCTTGCAGTCTTCAAACTAATTAAATTATTATCATTTAACAATGTCTCACAATTAAACAACTTCGGGAAATACTTACAATGTGCATCGGAGCTAAGATTAGCGTCAGTATAATGAATTATTGTTATTATTATTATTATTTGTATCAATAGTAGTTTTTGTTGTTGTGGTAGTTCGTTGATATGACTTTATATTGTCACTGTATTCCATTCTGATGAGCCGTTGGGGTCAAGGGTTTAATAAATTGAAATAAGAAATAAAGGTGGCGGCACAACTACCAAATTGAATGAGCAATTAGCCGCATCTGTCTCGTTGGAGTGCAGCGCAGTTTTCAAGTCATTGTACATATGTCAGACGTTTTGCCGATATTTTAATAATAATATTCCGCTAGGCGGGACCACATTACCCTAGGTTCTAGATTCCGGTATTGCCAGCTCGATCTTGATTTCATATATAGGCCTAACCCATAGTAGTAATACCAGGTACTAGTAAAAGCGACTCCACCACAAGGTATATTTAGCCAGCTAGCTTTTACGTTGCTCTGACACTCAGGGTAGACCACATAAGAAAAAGGGCCAATGTTCACTGGTTATATTCCAAGGTTTATTTTAAGATACAAACTTAACTTTTTCCAATTGTTATCAATATAATTCATAAATCTGTTATGGGTCTTTTCCATTTTAATTCTTATTAAAATGAAATTTACGTAAATAAAAGCCACAGAAACCCTTCATAACACATTGATTAACTACATTTTTATTTTTAAAAAATATATACACTTTGAAAATGTATACCTTTTAATTGACTCGATCTTTTCAAGAGGCAAAAAATACCAGACTTTCAAATACAAAATACGAATCTTATAATCAATTTTTTTTTTCATACCTATATCTTATAGGGCTATAGAAGGCCTAGGTGGAGCTTTCGCGTTTTGTTTCTTTCAATTTTCAATAGTATTTTTTACTAGTACAGGAAGGCATCTAATCTAGCAGCCAGAGGCGAATTAGGAAGCTATCCAGTGTTAATTCATATGCTTGCCCTGGCAACAAAATACTGGTTTCACCTCAATAAGCTTAACTTTATGGGTAAAGAATCCCTGGCCACCTTAGCCCTCGACACAGACAGATTTGAAAGTAAAGGTGGTGCCTGTCCCTTGGCATAAAGCAAATACTTCAAATTAGTGGTGAAGTCTAGTGTTGGGATAGACCATTAGCCAAATCGATTAATGTCTCAACAAAAAATATCCGGGTCTCTCTCGACAAAGTGTATTACCTTCAATGGGGGGAGGCAATTAAGAAAAGTAGCAAACTTAGAACATATACAAAATTTAAGAAGGATTTTAAGACCGAAAATTATGTGCTGACCTTTGATAAAGCACGGAGGGCTACATTCTGCAAACTAAGAATCAGCGCTCACTCACTCCATATTGAGAAGGGGAGGTACAGTAAACCCCCAACCCCGCCCCATCTAAGATTATGTCAAATCTGTAATTCCGGAGAGGTTGAAGATGAAGTGCATTTTATTCTGAAATGCGAGGCCTATCAGGAACTACGGGCGGCTTTCTACGAAAATATACTTATGCCCTCTCTCCCCCGGATATGTTTATAGGCCTACACATCATGAATACGAAAGAAATGGATGTGATTACGCCCCTCCTCATATTTGTACAGAAATGCATGGAGAAGAGAGTAAGTCTTTCTGCGCATGTCCAAACAAGATCATAGTACCAGTGTGAGACCCGTTATGCGCTGTCAGCAGAGACTGGGCGTGTAGATCAAACCTGTGTTATGTACCTTTACATATACATATGAGATGAATGTCCTAAACTTATATAATTTAGAACGCTTA